ATAATAATAATAATAATAATAAATTTTATTGACCTCATATTAACCATTTACAAACAACTTTACAAAGTAAATAAAACATACAAACGGTCAAAAGGACTTATGATCAGTTAAAAACTGTTCTTCCTCAAAAGCCTACATGAAAGTAAAAAAAAAAATATTAAAATACGTATAACTATAAAACACGGATGAATAACAAAAAATATATATATGTATATACAAACACAACAAAAAACTTTTTTGACAGGATTTTTTTAACATTTTTTTCAACATTTTTTTGCATTGTATACATTTTTTTTTAACATTTTTTTAAACAGTTTTTTGTATCACGTTTTCTTAATAATGGTTTACAATTTTTTACATTTATGGGTTTAATTTAACAGTTTGAAGGATTTGAAAAAATAACGCACTGTTCTTCAAATAATAACTTAGTTATATGCTTTTTATAACGTGGCAAGGACATTTTTTTAAATTCATTTGGAATTTCATTATAATGTTTTGCAATCTGATAAGAGAAAGAATTTTGAAATTGAAATGTTTTATGTTTAGGGATATCTATGAGTTCCTTTCTACGTATATTCATACAAGTGTTGTGAATGTCGGACCTAAATCTAATTTTGTCAAAGAGGTATGTCGGAGAATGTGTAGATAATATTTTATGAAAAAAACACAAAGCATGCGCTTTTCTACGATTTTCCATGTTTAGCCATTTAGCTAATTTTAAGGTGTGGGAAATTCTATCAAATTTACGGATGCCGTAAGTTAGCCTTAAACATGAGTTCTGCAATTTTTGAAGCCTCCTTCTTTGTACACAGTCAAGGCAGGGGCCGTAAACATAATCGCAGTAGTTTGCAAGTGATAATACCATAGAGTCACAGAGTTCCTTTTTTAAGTTTGAATTTAAGACTTGTCTATTGGTATAAAGGAGTTTTAGCTTACCATATGATTTTTGCAGAATATGAGAAATCATCATCATTGACATATTGCCTTTGACGACGTGTTTGTAGTGACATGATAGCTCGTATTCGCTAAGGGTGAGTTCTTTTATTTATTTTTTTTTGTAAATATGCTGACCAATATTTTAAAGCAATGTAGTTGACGAATATCCAAAAGTTTACTTTCCTTGAAAAGTAAGTTACTTGAGTACGTCCTTTTTCTGGAATAAATAATTTTTATGAACCATTTTTGGATTGAATTTAGATTTTGGTTGTGAGATTCCATATGTCAGGTACGTTTGTAACAACGAGAAATAGAGTGTTCTTAAACTTTCTATGCTCAAACACTTTTTTAAATATTTAAATTTTTATAATAAACCCCTGAGTTTATTAATAATAATTTTTATTTGCAGATCCCATTTTAGATGCATGTCTATTGTAGCGCCTAGATATTTAATGGAAATAGCTTCGGGGATTTGGATGTCATCAATATTTAGCGATCCAAGATTAGGTAGGTTGGAGGCATATGAGGTAAAGGTTAAGTAATGTGATTTTTTTGGATTAAGCGTTAATTTGTTTTCAAACCATGACTTAATTTTTTTCAAATCCATTTCAGCTTTAATTTTTAATCCTGCCCATGTGTCTGCCTGATACATAATAGCGATGTCACCAGCAAAGCTCATAATATTTCCCTGAGTTTTTTGAGACATTAAACTATTTATTTAGAGAGTGTATAGCACTGGCCCAAGAACAGTTTCCTGTGGCACTCCCAACGAAACCGTTCCCGGGCCACTACTCTTCCCATCAATACTTATATATTGCACTCTGTTAGTCGTGTAACTTTCCAACCAATTATATGTAATTCCCCTAATCCCATATTGCTCCAGTTTCTCTAACAATTTTTTATGGCACACCGTGTCAAAGGCTTTTGAGAGGTCAAGAAATACGCAAAGACTCGGCGTTTTGGAGTTAATTGCTTTATAAATAATAGATGTAAGTGAATATATTGCATCTTCCGTGAATTTTCCCTCCTTAAAACCATATTGATGTGGTGATAACACTTTATGCGTATTGAGGAACTTTAGTAGTCTCAATTTAATAATTTTTTCATAAATTTTGCAAAACACAGAGAGTAAAGAGACAGGTCTATAATTTTCTATTTTGCTTTTGTCTCCATTCTTAAAAAGAGGTTTTATTATACCTATTTTTAAACAGTTTGGATTAATGAGATGGGTAAGTGATCGACCAATGTCTTCATTTATTTCTTTTATTGTTTCTGCCCTAATACTATCCCAACCTAGAGATTTGTTTGGTTTTAAATCTTTAATAATTTGTTTTACTTCATTCTCATTGGTATCCACAAGATATATAGTACTTTCCATTCTGTTTATATCTTCCCTATAATTTTGAGGAACTTTGATTTTATTTGCGTATTTTTCACCAAGGTAACTATAGTAGTTATTAAAGATATTTGTAATTTTCAATACATCTGTTATTTTTTCCCCGTTCTCCCCTTGTACAGTTTCAATTTTTGTTTTAGGTATTTCTTTGTCGCATAATATATTGACACACTTCCATAAAGAAGCTGATGATCTTGTGTTTTTATTTATTATTGTATTAATATAATTTTTTTTAGATATTTTGACTAGATTTGTTATTTTATTTTTATAATCATTGTAAATAGATTTAAGTGCTAAATTATTTGGGTCTTGTTTTATTTGTGAAAATACTTCATTCTTGCAGTTTATAGATTTTAATATACCTGTTGTAATCCAGGGTTTTCTTATTTTACGTTCATTGTTCTTCAATTTTACAGTTGTTGTGTTCTGTTGTATATATTTTTGTATTTCTTTAATACATGTTTCAGTGGCCAAATGAACATCATTTGATTGACATATTGTTGACCAGCTTATGTTTCTTAAGTCCTTTTTTAAGTTTTTATAATTTATGAAACTTTTATAATGTTGACTGTTTGATTTCTCGTTATTTTCTTTGGATTTTGAGGCAAAGACTACTGCAATTGGAAAGTGATCTGTAATGTCACTTTCAAAAATAAATGATTTAATATTGGTAACACTACTGCCGATATTTTTTATGAAAAAATGATCTAGACAAGTATTGCTTGCAGGTCTTGTAGTTTGATTAATATAAGTGATTAAATAAATGCAAAATAATGATCGAAAATAAGATACAGGTACGTTATTTAAAAAGTAAATCGATGTTTATTATAATTTTTCAAAGTGTTAAAGCAGTCACGCTATTCATTTGTTTTTCTAAATGAGTATAAATCATTCTTCGTTCTCCTGACAATTTTCACGTAAAAATAACAACAAAAGAATCCTTTTTGTTTTTCTTTCATGTCTGGCGTTCAAATTGCTGCAATCAATGAAACAATACATTTTATGTTTTTTTTACACGACAAGCACGAGCCGTTGTCACGATCATTTTTCGTCATTATATTCATATAAAAGTACTCAAGAGAATATTTTGATAATTTAGAGGATCGCTAGATAGATTTTGAGTAACAATTTTTTCTATGCTTTTACAAAGCTGGCGCTAAATTGCAAAATTATTTTTCGATTACTAGAACACTAGAACATAATACATAGCAAATAATTTTCTTAAAAATAGGATTTTTGCAATTTAACAAAAACCTTGCGATATTATCAAAGAATCTTTATTATTAAAAAAAAAATTATCCGGTATTAACCATCTCATAGGCGGTGGGAAGCCAGTTTCCCACTATGTTTAAAGCCTACTGGTGAGGCCATCTTCTAAACACTTGAAAAACTTCTAAGAAGCCGCGAATAGTTGCATAATTTATGCAGGTCACTTACGCTATGCCTACTGATAGAGCCATAACTACATACAAATTTGAAAGAACAGCAAAACTCGTCTGGAACACAGGCGGTTCAAAAACCAAGGAAGGAGCCGGTGCTGGAATCTATGGACCCAAGTCGAAAACAACGATTTCACTGAATTTAAAAAAATATGCAACAATTTTCCAGGCTGAACTAATAGCAATACAACACTGTACAAGAGAAATACTAAATCAGCAAGTATCAGGCAAAACTATTGCCATATACCTTGATAGCCAAGCAGCTCTAAAGGCAATTTTCTCACCAGAAATCAAATCACGACTGGTGAAAGAATGTCTAGAAGACCTGGCAGAGCTAAGTAGTCAAAATAAGATGACCCTAGTCTGGGTGCCAAGCCAAAAGGGGTATCAGAACAACGAAAAGGCTGACAAATTAGCCCACCCTAGCCTGGGTGCCAAGTCAAAAGGGGTATCAGAACAACGAAAAGGTTGACAAATTAGCCCGAGAAGGCTCAGATAAGGCCATGACAGGCCCAGAACCCTTTTGTAGAGGCACTGTGCAAGGCATCCATCAAACAATGGATGCAAATAGAGTCTCAGGAATGGTGGATCAACTATCCAAGACTGAGACGGGCCAAACAGTTCATCTAGGAACCACCGGCCAAGTTCACGAAATACCTACTGGATCAAATGCGTCAAATCGTTAAGATAACAGTAGGTCTTCTCACTGGACACTCTCGCCTTAAAAGACACATGAATGTCATCAATCCAGCAGAAGAAACAACTTTGTGCGGGTTCTGTAAAGAAGAAGAGGAAACATCATTCCACGTCATGTGCCAATGTGAAGGCTTGTGAAGGCTAAGTAACTCGAAAACAAAAAAAAAATAAAAACTTCACAAAAATATAATAATTTGAATGTCAAATTAACTGTTAAGCCGCCATTAAAAAAAAGGGAGGCAATTTTAATTTTTGAGTCAGTCAGAAACTACATAACTTTTAATAATTTTGAAAATGATATTGAAATCAGCATAAAATTATCTAAAATATTTCCTATTTAACCGACCTTCTATCTCCTGTATTAAGTGAGATACCAATATAAAGACACGAATTTGGTACACGGTGTATATAGGCTTCAAGCAAAGTTATGTTAAAAAGAGCCTGTTACCTATTTATTTCTTTGGTATTTAGGAATTATTCGAATTTCTACTACTGGAATTGCTATAAATACATCAACTAACAAAAGTACTTACTCTAAAAAATGATGCTCCGAAAAAACCTCGCTGATATCCGAATCGCTTCTAGGCAACAACAACTTAGGCAGCACCCCGGCTTTTTTCCTCCTCATCTTCAACGTACCGGAAGTGAAGTAATCAGGTATCTTGTGAGGCGAATGCGGAGATAAAATGGTCAATCTTCTATCCCCAGGACTTAAGCTCAAGTATCCCGTCGGTGGTGGCAGGCTCAGGTGTTGCGGTATTCTCATCTTACCCGACCACAACACCCTTTTTCTTTCAGCGGTAAACGTGTCTTCGCTCCCAGTCATTTCCAAGGCTGCGTCACCGCTTACGGCGTGTCTTTTGAGCTTCATTTCACGCTCAATGCTTTCTAAAGATTTCGTTTCTGTTGTTTCTAAATAAACTTTCCTGACGTCACGTTCGCTCGATGATAAGAACCCTTTAGGCGAGGCTCTCAGGCTCTCCATGCTCTTGGTCGTGCAGCTGCTGGTGCGCATAGAGGCTGATAGGTATTGTCCTTTGTACTTCGACTCTGGCTCGTAATCCTCTTGAGAAGAACTAGAATGCGGCGATTTCGATAGCAGCGAGTACTTAGGTGAAGCCTTTGCTGATAACGATAAAGATTCTGATTCCGATTCGTTCGAATCCCCGCTGGCTTGGTGGGTCACTATGTGGCATTGTGGGATTTTCTGAGTTGATTCTGGAATAACTGTTAAGCTGTGGACGTTTTGAGGTGTTAAAGTTACCGTGGACGGAGCCTTAGACAAAGAGGACATTTCGTCTTCGTCGTCCTCCATTTTGTTGATGTTTTGTTGGTTTTTATTAGTCCGAGAGTTCGATTTACTGTCACAAAACACTCGGCATTATCATTGTTTATCAGCTGGTCATCGCAAGAAAGTTTTCATTAGCGAATCACTGCACTTTGATTTAGAGTAAAAAGTCTATTCTGGAAGGAATGATGTTGGTATAAGGTTTTGTTACTACAATTATGTATTTACTGTTTATACAACGTTTGTAAAATTGTTTTAATTATAGATAAAAGTGTTGTAAGTGAAAATTAACTGTTTATTGCCAATACAATTCTGTTTTATACTCATTGCTATTAAAAATATTAGTACGCTATGGTAAACATTAGTAAATTGAATGTAGTTCTTTTTACAGGGCTTCAACAATACAACAATACCCGTATCTAAGGTATAGGTATAATAAATTTAAAAGCAAAAAAGTTTAATTATATTTTTATTAACTGGTGACATAATGTCAGTTTATATGTCAAAATTAAAAACTAATTTATAAAATTGATTAAAACTACTTAATTTTATTTATTATTAAAAGTAAGGAAGTGGTAAATTTTAATTTGATTAACAAATAATATACGATTTAACCTTCTTCGTCACAGTGGACGTACGACGTATAAAAATTAACTGAAAACATAGTCGAGAATTTGTGTTAACTCTTTCTTTTTCAATCACTTGATAAAGAAATATTTACTGAATTTATTCATTATTCTTAGCCTATGGTAACAGAAAAATATGTACACAAGGTGTAGATCTTAACTGGAATAAATTCGCTAGCGGGAAGGTGAATAATTTTTCTAAAATTTCCCGAGACACGTCAATGTTTTAATATATTTACATACATTTTGTAAACAATTTAAAAAATATAGCCCTTCAGGGGTAGCTAAAACCACCCTAAAATTAAAGATTCTGCTTATACAGATCCTAGTAGATAATATATTATATTTAGACGGATCCTTTCAGCTGTAGAACTATTATCAGGAAGGCGTATGGAACCAGGGGATTACCAAAAGTAGCAATCGAAATGCTAATGTCATTTTTAAATAATAACACTCTAGTCTAGTATAAGTTGATTATAAAAAATTGTAGAATTCGCTATATCCCACATTAAACACATTTCTTTCGGCATTTTCTCAAAGGAGTTGTTAGAAATATATCCAACATATTTCACTGATTCATTAGGCGAACCCTGCCTTAAATGAATTTAGATGATCCGAGATTAAAGAATCGCTATATTCCATCTCTCTTGCATGCATGAACGGTTTAAATTCAATGCAATCTATGACATAATATTCTGTAATATTATCCCGCGTTTAGACAAGTCACATGGCCACTCTCGAGATAATTCCTATGACTGTAAGATGTGATGAGTTTAAAAGGCAAAAATTACGCCAATCACATTCTAGTTCTTTCTGTCCCATCGTTACAGACTGAATGTTTTGCTCATTTTACTCGTGTCGTGCCAGTACCGTCATCGCTGATTAGAGAAACTTTACATCTTCTTAACTACAAACATCAAAAATGTAATATAAAGACAGATGAGCCACGCCCGGTGTATATCGCGCTGGTCGACTTTTTCTTTAAGTTACTTATAAGTGGATAGTTTCTGAGCAAATTAAAAAACAAAGTTATTCCAATTAGTTAAAACATGTTTTTGTGATATTTTGTTAAAATTAAAATAGTTTAAAATTATTATACTGTGAAAAGTAATGTGTAAATTGTATAAAGATTACTATGACCGAAAAACTGTTTCACGAAATGAATTTAGTGAGAAAGATAGAATAAATGTAAGAGAAGGTAAGATTTAGCAACCAGTCATTACTAGATGATGATTTTCGTGTATGTAATAAAGAGTCGGCACATGAAGGTGTAGTAGATAATCACAAAGTTGTTCCTCAAGGTTCTAATCAAGGTTCCAAGGATAATAAGATGGTTTATGGGAAAAGAACCCATAAATTGCCCACCAAATACCAAGATTATGTAGTGTATTATTTAGTAGTTTATTGTAGCATTAGTGCCCTGTTATTAGTTTAGATATTTAGTTAAGGAGGAAGATGTAGTATTAGACCTTACTCAACTTAGTCTAACTAACAGAAGAATGACATATGTAATCTGTCAAACTTAGAAACATGTACCCGTCCCAGTAGTTTTGATAGTTGTTTTTTAAAACGTTTAAATAAATATTTGGGTATTTATTATAATAACATAATATTACACTCCACCAATTGTGATGTAGTTATGTTAATCTTATAATAATCGGACTCTACATCATTTTCTCAACGCTGTTGTTAGAAATATATCCAACATATTTCACTGATTCATCTGGCCAACCCTGCCTTAAATGAATTTAGATGATCCGAGATTGAAGAATCACTATAATCCATCTCTGTTACATGCATAAACGGTTTAAATTTAATACAATCTATGAGTTCCAGAACCGTCAAAGTCGGGTCACAGTAGCCGATAATTTTTATAATGTCATGACATCTAAAAATTGTAATTATCTAGCTGATTTATACTCTCTTATTTACTTTCTTGACAATACGACGATCAATTCAGCTAAAACTATTTCAACGTTTATATGGAACGTTCTAAAACTTAGATCATTCATAATAAATGAATAACTTAAACAAATATATGGTAATCAACATGATCTTTTTTTTTGTGTTTTTATTTTATAGGATAGCTATAGCTATAAACCAAATAATGTATTTTTGTTTTGCTTTTCTTCCTCTTATTTTGTTTGTATTATTAATTATGTGTGTGATTAATTTGTATTGTATGAGCAGGTATATTTTTGTATGTCAAACTCTTGCTGTAGAACAATCTGTTTTTAAAAGCAATAAATATATTATTATTATTATTATTAATTCTATTTTTTAAGAAAAATCCGTATTCTAGCGTTTTATCGGTGTTCTATGGTAATCTGAAGACGGTCAAATTTTGTTATTAGTCTATTTTAAACTTTACTACTTATAAAGTACTTTAATAAAATTTTGTAGTTCAGATATCACTGGAAATCGAAGAAATAATAAGTTAAAGTTGAAAATATATGTCCCCTATGTCCCGTGACGTGTACCCATAAGTCCTGAGGATTTAAATTTTCTTGCCAAATGTCAACTTGTATTTTCCTATTAAAGCCATTTCTGTGTGTATTATAGAGTGAAATAGAAAAATAATTAGATGTTTGCTCTTTAATTTAACAATTATTGACAAAACTAGATAAAAAATAAAAACCTCTAAAATTATCTAGTCGTTACAAGAAAACACAAATTTTTTAAAAATATTGTCCTTGTAGGTATAAAATTTGGCAGGAATATTCATCAATAATGGGTTTTCAATCCCAATGTTCTTTCAAATGGGTGAATCAATGTTTTTTGTAAAAATAAACACCATTATTGAGTGTTTCTACGTAAATAGAATTGAAAATTTCGATGCGTTATTTAGATTTACTAATTACATACCATTAAATTAACCAGTAATCATGTCGTGTCAATTCAAGCGATTTCATTAGGGGACTAAAAATACATTAAGCATAGGAGACGCTACTTCCTGAGCAGTTTTTAGAGCATGGATTAATATTGAAACCCTGAGAAACACAGCCGGTTGGTCCCAAAATACTAGATTTTATAATAGGCCCATTTCTAATGATTCTTTTATTAGCCAATAGTGTTACTACGTGATTAGGGAACAGGGAGAAAAGGAATAATAAAAAATTTTACATTAGTTTTGTTAGTTGTACTGAAATATACAGAAATTGAAACATGTTTAATACCTACTTTGGTTTGGTATTAAAGATATTGAATAAAGTTATTGTTTATTAAACATTATCTAGTGAATTTCTTCTGCTATATATCATAACCACCTAGTGTTCTATAAGGACCGGACTGTGAAGCATAACTTTAGATTAAACGACTTTACTCTAAGGAAGTTCAATCGTAATAATTATACTAACAGTCCTGTCCTCATTGAACGTTATCTTCCTTGAAAAGATGAGTACTTTTGATATTTTCACCCAGCTCAAAGGTCGCGATCTCTGAACTAAAACGCATTATTGAAGTATCCGGCAACGCTGATGGAAAAGAAAAGTGGCACGTATCATAATAAATATGCTTCCAACCCAATAAAATTAATAGCCGTGCCCAAGAACGAAAATTGCCGTGTTTTTAGACTTTTTACGAACTATGGCCGTGTCACATGTGAAATTCATTCATTCCCTTTGCACAAATCATACGAGAGTGGTTTGACGAAAGAGTGACTTTTCAGAGGTTGGCAACACTTTCGCTACAGTAACTATATTGGTAGTTTCCGCCATGTTTCTGATGTCATCTGTCAACATTTTACATAAATCTGACTGATAATTAGTTTTAATACTCATATTAGAGAAAATAGTTTTGTTCCATCACGACAATGCGCCTGCCCATTCGTCCGCTATTGTTGCACAAAAATTACCCGAACTGCGTTACGATTTATTGCCTCATCCATCATATTCACCTGATCTGGTTCTCTCCGATAACTTTCTGTTCTCAAACCTAAAAAAATGGCTTGGTGGAAAGCGATTTCAGACAAATGAAGAGGTGATGGTACAGACAAACGCATATCTTGCGGAACTTCCGAAAGATTATTTTTTGGATGGTTTTAAAAAATTGGAAACAAGTTGGGCTAGTGTTAAAAAGAGTTTATAGTCAAAAATAAAATATTTTTTTTACAGTAAAGTAACTTTTTTAATGAAAAGTCAATCTTCCGTCAAACCACCCTCGTATATTTGTGATTAAAAAACGCGGCAGTATGGCAGTATAAGCCGTGGCCATACAATAAATCTAAAAATCGGTGAAAACACGTCAATTTCCGTGTCAATGGCAGCACTAACTGTTTAATGTTAATACGACTGTCGGCCCAGTAGTCATTTCCTGTTTTTAAAATTACCGCTATTTCCCGTGCGAATGCGCGGATGAAATTGTTTCTATACTATAGCCGGCAGAATGAAAAAGACTCTCTAGAAACACGTAGTATGTTTGTACAAGAAATGTAAATTGTTTAACCCATTTGCTGAATTTAAAACCAAATAAAGTGTTTACATAAAAAGGGTCAAATAATTATTATTAATTAAAGCTGATACAGTCCAAAAAGAGCCAAGAATAAACACTGG